TAATGCAATGATTTTTAGCCTGTAGTTTCTCATTCGTCGGAGAGTTTAAAGGCTCTGAAATGTGGTGTCCAAAAGGCCAATGTCAAGCCATTACGAAAAGCATATTTTTAGAGTTTCTCAAAGTTAAACCTTAAACACTGGTGCAGCTAAAGCAGAGGTGTTTCAAACCCAGCCATATGACCAAATAACACACTGTACAGACTGACTAGCACAGTGACCATAAATATTCTTTGTGTTCCTTCCAAGGCCACCAAAAGAAACAATGAAAGCCACCCCTCTCCCCTCTCCTCCCCCAAGTGGCAAACCCCATGAGACCACAAGCAATGCCCGTGGAAGGCTCCATTCAGATCCAGCTTCTTTTTCCTGCTTTTTAGCTGATGGAACAGAGTGTAGACATATAGACGAACTGCATGCTGGGAATGTTGTACTTGGCATTTTGATGAAACCCACACATAAAATGAAATAAAATAATAAAAAATAGTGCTGAGGGAGCACTTTGGGGCCTGCTATGACAATTAAGACCTGAACAGAAGACATCTGTGATGAATTAAGGAAATGTCTCTGTTTATACAGGAGTAACCTCATCCTTCTCCGGGGGTACCGGAAGGTGGGATTTTTTACCTTACAACCATGTGGCACAAGTAAATCTGCAGGTTTTCACCATCTTCCTTTTCCTTGTTAAGCCATGCTTCAAAAAAGACATATGATTTCCATTCCAGTGGTGCTTGTAGTCCCCAAAACTTAATCCAGCAAACTGGATATCTGTACATGGATCAAATGATAGAAACCCACATTTCAAACCATACTGAAGGATTACCTAGCCCCTGGCACTAGCTTCAAGCTGTACTGTTTATACCTTTTTTGTTTTTTTGGAATGCACAGCCTATTTTCCATCATGTCCAGTGACATCTTCCCATGATAGGGTCCTCAACACAAAGCAAGCTAAAGGATGTTTAAAATTAATTCCAGATGTTTGACTAATTAGCATAACACTGGTTCACATAATACAAATTTGGTGTCACGAACTTTTGGTGCTGAAATCAGACAGAGGGAGGAAAGGCAATGGGATTTAGATAAACGTCCTTTCTTAGGAAATGCTTGGCCCTCACCAGCATGGGTGTTTGCCCCCCTCTTTGGCCGATATGACCTCCAAGTTGCAGTCTCTCTACCTGCCATAGGTAGGTTCCAGGACTCACAGAGAAACTGTACAACATAAGGTCCTACTCAGTGCCCGTGACACCTGTCAGTTGTTGACTGCTTGTTTACACACCCTGCAGAGATTAACTTTCACATAAAAGTTCAGCTGATTTTTTAATTTTTTAAATTATGAACATAATTGCAAGTCTATTCATTTTCAGTTGTAATGAAATGGTTTTTCATAAATGTATCACTCTGAACTGGTATCTATGAAGAGTAGCAAATTAGTAACAGAGGAAAGGTGGGGAGAAAGGAAATTGGCAAGTGAGGGAGAATATAGAAGGACTAATGATAAGGATCATTCTAAATAAAATTCTTTTAGTGGTGAGATTTCCACAACATAGTCAACATTGTGTTTTACAGCTTTTTCCTGGCTCCCTGTGCTGGCAAAGCAGCGCAGTGTTTACACTTGCCCGTAGTAATCCCCTGTTCTTTGCACTCTGTGGGACCTCCCATTCTTTCACTCTACCTATCAGGCACTCCCTCTGAAAAATCTTCACCATGATGTCATCCAAACATAGTCGCCCTTCCAAAGCTGACATCAATGTCTATGGGAAGAGCGCCTCATACTTTCCAGGTCCCAGATCAAGCTGCTGTTCACCTCTGTATCTGCTCGTTCCCTCCTGCCTGAGGGCTCAGAGGTACACCCCAATGCTGGGGCCCGGCAGCTGCTGGATTCCGTCGGCTGATTCCATCGTTAGAGCCCGACAGATACATAAATCGTGAGCCTCCCTCTAAGCACACGGCCTTGTTTTCCCATTTCCTCCCTGCAGGTTGGTACATCAGTTTCAGGAACCGTATTATGGATTGCCCTAGCAGACACGTGTACAAAGGTCCTCTTACATTGTGTATGAGTGACAAATTTACTTTTCCATTTCTGCATTTACATGGCTAGTTCTAGAGAGGAGAGCTTCTGCTGAGTGGCAAAGCTTGAAAACATAAACCCCCCTAAATGAAGCAGAAGCCTCCTCTATCATAGCCACATTCCTTCTGGATTTCAAAATCTGTACAACTGCAACATGCTTGTCTAATTCTTTCAGAATGTACTTTTTTCTGCTTCTGTCCTTACTTTGACTTAACTTGAATCAAGTTGTTTTTTTTAAGTTGCTTTTCAGAGAGAAAAAAGACAACGTGGGTAATTCTTAAAGAAGATTACCTCAAGCTAAAATCATTAAAAGCAACAGAAACAGAACTTGCTCTAAAGTGAAAAGAACATCAATTAATAAAATATGAAATCATCTCTTGCGTGGTGTAGAAGATGAGCAATTGGCTAGAGACTTGAGAAAGTCTGCTAAATGACTATTTTGTGATCAGCTTCATGCTCAGAGTTCCGCTAGATAATGGTGCTGTTCTATTCCATACCCGATTGTACATTTCTGGCAAAGTGAACAGCAAAGTCAAAAACGGTCAAGAACAAAGATACCCACCACACAGACACATACAGGTTAAAGCAAAAGAGAACTGAAAGATAATTACTGCACGAGAAATCGGAAGAGCTTTTCATGTCCTCTCACTGTTCTGTATTAGAGATAACTCTTCAGAACATCCCCAGACTTAACAAACCTTGGCAGCAGATCTCCCAGGCATCCAAGCCATGAAGTTTAGAGCTCTGCTGGAGCTCATCCTGAAGAGATCTGCTCTCTTTCCTCTCAGTATTAATTTTCTGGGCTTGTTTGGTGTGATATGTAATATTCCCAGTCTTGATTGTGTAGAATACCTGTTTCAGCTGATGTTGAGAGATCGATCTTTTTATTCTGTTCTGGGAATTTTGAAGACTTGAATCCTTGAGTTTACCCAATAAATCAATCAATTATTCAACCTCTCATTCTATTCCGCCCCCCCCCCCCACCCCGTAATTTGGAAAATATGTGGCCTGTTTTCCATTATGAACAACAAGGACAGCCCTCCCATCATTTCCAGCTGGTGCTGGAATAACATAAGGAATAGTTTATATTTTCCAGAACAGCTCTGCCATTTCCCACGATATCACACTCTGCTGTGACAGTAAAATCATCAATTCAATCCCATCTGTGTTTTTAAGCATATAATGTGATAGAGACTACTGATCTAAAGTGCATTTTTAGACTGTGCGTCAAGCATACTCATTTAAAAGGCATTATATAAATAAAAAACTGAAATGTTCCTAGGCAAAAAAGAAACATAACACCCAAAGCATACTGTTTAATTCCTATCTGCCAAAGACAAACTTCAAAAGATATGAAATGACTTTGGTTGCACATTTTGCTCACAAATTCAGCATTTTGCTCACAGAATACATCAGGCCTTCGAACTCTGAGATATCCTTGCCAGCACCAAAAGAAATCCTGTGATGCAATGTAGCCTGCGTGCGCATGGCTACTCAGTGCAGCTGCAGGTGGCCTGTGTGTGCATGGCTACTCAGTGCAGATGCAGATGGCCTGTGTGCGCATGGCTACTCAGTGCAGATGCAGGTGGCCTGCGTGTATATGGCTACTCAGTGCAGCTGCAGGTGGCCTGCGAGTGCATGGCTACTCAGTGCAGATGCAGGTGGACTGTGTGTGCATGGCTACTCAGTGCAGATGCAGGTGAGAGTTGGCAGCACATCAAACACATGAGGCATGTCCGCACCAAGTCCATTAACATAGGAATGTAAAGGAACTAAAAAAAAGTTGTTGGCCATTATGGGAGTAATTGCCTTCTGAAGGCCGCAGGAAACCTGTAAGGTTCATTCATTGTGTTCATTAAGCATAGAAAATTGCAGTTTGTTGAGAATTTACTGAGAAGCACTGAATTTATTGTGACTCCTGTTTCATATCAAAAACATGTTAAAAAATAAATCCTAAGAGCCATTATAGTTTTGCACTGTAATGGCAAATCATGTCCACTTTATCATAATTCTCCACACAGTATGATTCACAAAACACAACTGAGCACACCAGTCAACCATTGGTGCAAAATGCACTTCAGCCAACCAAACACTTCATACTTCACCCAAAAGTGATTGATGCTGCCATAACTATAGCATATGCTCACTCACATAAGACTACTGTGTCATTCATTGTACCATCAAATAAAAAACACAAATTGTACAGTAGCATCTCGAAATACATATATTACAGTATGTGTCTTTATGTCTTCTGTTTATGCATAGTTTGGTGTTGCATTGCAAATTTTAAACATATACAGCAGCAATAGTGGAAAAATCTCTTCTGCGACAACGGCATCAACATTTTATCTACATACATACACATTTCAATGCAAATATTTCAATTTTTGTACAGACAGTAATACGACTGCTAGCTAAAACATGAGTAATCCTTTGCTAAATTCAGAATAATCTAATTTCAAGCATATGTATAATTATTAGTTTAATTTGTCAAAATATATTCCAACTACCATATTTCCACCTACAATGATTGAAATTTGTTAGGTTTTGAACTGAAAGTTTTGAACAGAGTATGTAAATGTCTGAAAAATTTGTTACAGTTGTACAGAATTTTGCTGGTGTTGAACATTGACTGTTAGAGGTATTCATGAATTCATGAAGTGGTGATTGAATGCATTTTGTATCAAAGCAATGCAAAAGTATGTATTAAAGGTTTTGAATGTATTAAGTCTTTTGAAAAGGGGGAAACAGTATTGAGACAAGTCAGAAAACAATTTTAAAAAACTGGAATGCCTGCAACGATGTTGCTAATATAATTCCATAAACAGCCAAATTGTTCTGAATATATAATCTATTCCTCTGAGGAAATATGAAAAAACCACAACAGCAAACCTGTTCATAAGACATAATTATACGAGTACAAATAAAATAAACATACCTCAAAGACATCCTCATCAAGTATCCGTGTTCCGAAAACAACAATTCCTTTAGTGTCGATGATGGGATGTGCGCTCCTTTTCAGCTGCCTCGTTATCTTCTTTTTACAGTCCAGTATCATGGAGACGGTCTGCTTGTGTACACTAACAGCCACGCGATGCCATCTGAAAGACAGACGCTGGTCGTCTTCACATTTTGAAAAACATATGTGATACTAGAACATCACTGGCATGTATTTATATCTATTTACTGCAAGAATTGTTTGAAACCATATCAAACTAGAAACTTTGAAATCAACATTATCACCTAAGGTAATAACCAATTTGTCCCCACAATGTGATAAAAACCTGTTGTTTTTACGTTGTGGGGACCACCTTTTCAGTCCCCAGAGGGGGAAACTCAATTTTATAAAAATCCATGACTGCAATCAAAAAACAAAAAACGAAAAGTCTTGTATTTTGTTTAGTTACTTATGGTTATGGTTAGGGCTGGGTAGTGGTTAAGACATTGTTGGGCTTAAGGTTTTTCCCATAGAAAAACTACATTCAGTCCTGTGTCTCTGTCCTCTGAATAAGTACATCATAAGTCAGAAGGAAAATCTGGATTCTTACAACACTGTTTATCCACCAAGGCTTCTAATGAACAGAAGACACATAGCAGATATGCACAACTGTAGTGTGATTTACAGTTTTAAGAATGTTAGTATTTTCCCCACAGGCAGTGTCCTACCTCCCATATACTGTTTTGTCAGTCACTGCCTGGTTTAACCCAATGGAAAACAATACAGTGATCATTTGGAAGAGGACAAAGTCAATAAAGAATGAGGGGTTTCAGCCTTTATTTCTCTCAAGATTATTTTACAGTTTCTGGAGCCTTGGGATAGATGCAATGTTAAAACTATCAATGTGCATTCCGTCCCCTTCCTGGGAAAATGGATCCAAAGGACTTCGCAGTTTTTCCTTTCTTTTTTTATGTCTCTGACTGGAATTTCAAAGTCCAGTCTACTTCAACTCATACAATCTGAGCATGAAGCTATTGCATTGCATTGGGACTAAGCAGCAGACGGGTGACGTGAGTGAGCGACTGAGCAGGACTTACTTCCCATCCGCTAAGTTGAGGCCACTAAAAAGCGGGTAGTCTTCAGGACTTGGCTTGCCTGTGTGATCCTCGTACAGGAAGACAGGTGAGCGCCCCACCTCCATGCCCAGCTGCTGAATGCCCTGCTCATTGTAGATGGACATCAGAAAGGCCTGGCTGCCCTTCTTCGGCTTTACCGTGGCCAGGATAGAGAAATCTTCAGGAAACGCCGAGGCTGCCGGGGAGGAATATGCGAGGAAATTAAAGGAAAATTACAATGTTAAAAAAACAAAAACAGGAAAATGACACCATGTTATTTTCAAGGCCTTAAAGCATTTCACTTGGGGTCACAATCCTGTGTTATTACTGAAATACTTTGCAATCTTGTTGACTGTTAACCAATAATAGACTAGTAAATCATAGACTAATAAGGAGACTACGAAACGAGCTATACCACTGCAGAGAGGCTCGTTGTTTGTTGCGACGGCACGTTCATCTTGGAATCTGAAAAATTATGGATCTTTTTTTATTAGCGGCCAGTAGTTCAATTTGCCACAATCTGACAAGAAATGAGGAGCCAGGCCGGACTGACCTAACAAAAGGAGAACATGGAGCAGGACCATGAAGCTGAGGACAGAGAAGGTTATCAGCCAACCTGAGTTTGTAGGAGTATTTTCTCTCTGCCCCGAGTGGAACTGAGCCACCGCCAGCCAGTGGTGGGGATGCAAGGAAAGGAGGAGCCTGGGTTTGTTTTGGCCAAAGCGCACGTGGGCAATGGCTTTTCCATTTAGCTGTGGTGGTCTGGCAGCACGCACTGGGAGAGGGCCAGCTGGGAGGTGCTGGAGTGTCAGTTCCCAGTTTGTTTCTCTTTGGGGTTTGCTTCACTCGCTACGTTTCGCAGAGTCAAAGATTCCTCCACAATAAGCACGTCTGTATGACTGAATGCACACTTTACATTTTACTACAGCACTTCAGAATTGAAAGAAATTGGCCATATAATTATGATGCATAGTTGAAGAAATTATACAAATAGATGTAACACTCTTCGTAACACTGGAAAATATCAGGTCTGGTTTCAGATTTCAAGTACAAGACCGTGCCAAAAGGTAAAAGTCATGAGACTTTCCACGGTAGATGCATTGTACACCCTGAAAAAAACAGGGTAAAGGTCACGGTCTTGCCTTAAAAAGCACTCCCATCCTCAGTCAATCCATCTGCTATCCCTGGCACTTTCACATTTCTGCCATTTTCAATGTTTCCTATTATTTCCTGACAGACATATGGAGAACAGATGACCTGGAGATTCCATTGAGTGCCGGTTAATCGCCATTCTCCCTTTATGGCACTGACGGTGTAAACTCTTCAGAATGTCACTTAATAATCTGACATCTCTACTCCTGGACAGCGTAATGAGGAAGTGCTTTCGTGTCAAAACAGCCTGCTAAGGGCGACACCCGACTCTATACAGGACTGGAGAAGAGGCCAGGGTGCCAGGAAGCCTGAATATCTTCCAGCTTCCATAAGCGATTCCCCTGCTGCTGGCTTTTCTGTGTTTCTGCGTGGGTGTCGAGGAGCGTGTGCACGGTGGGGGAGGGGCGGTTCTGGAGGGTGGGATGGCCTCCACCCCCTTCCAGCACCCCGTCTTTTCTTTCCTATTACTGTCAAATACACATTAAATAATACACATTAAATAATAAACCAATCCGCTTCATTGTGGAACATGCCTTTCCAGTGGCTAAAGTGGAATTCAGCTTGGGTTACAAGTTTCTTCAGATTGTATTAAAATGCCAGATCATGTCTGTGTGCGTGTGTGTGTGCGTGTGTGTGTGTGTGTGTGTGTGTGGGACCAAATGTTCCTCCACAAGGTAATAAAAAATCAGTTATTTTGACGCTGTGGGGACCATTCTTCAGGGTGTTCTGGATCCCCCCCCCCCCTCCACACACACACATATACATACAAACATGTATATATACACACACACACACGTGTTAATACACATATATACACACACACACGTGTTAATACACATCAAACACACTGGCATGCAGTTCAGGGGACACCCCAGGCTTGTGGGCTTACTCTTACACTTACTCTTACACTTACTCTTAGGTTAAACCTGGAATGATCTACAAGGTCAATGGGACAAAAAGAAAAGTTAAATAGTTATTTTCTCAGTGACAACCTGAGAAAATTCCTAATGATTCATCATTAAGACAATAATCTGGGCAGGTGTTCGTGTCCATGTTCATTCCAACCTGGTTAATCAGCTTACAGTCAGTTCTCTGGCAAAGTGTGCTAATGCCCTTGGAGTAGAATATGGTCTGAAAATCCCTGCAGTCTTTGCAAAGGCTTTGAGATAATCACTGGGAGTGCCGTAAGTGGGGGGAACCCAAAACATTTTGGAACATAATTGGATTGGTCTGGGTTACGGAACCAATATCATGCACTTTCATGGGGTCTAAAATCTCTACTATTGTCCCTGGTAAAACACAACCATCACCTCATTTTAATAGTCTGATAAAAGCTGAATGCGTTAATCGCACTTCTTTCAGGAAAAGTCCTGTTGCTGCCTGTTTTATTAGTCCACAGACCGCTCCACTGTAAGAACATATAAAATTGCATTATATATAACTTAAGCTCCCTTTAAAAGACAGGAGTAGCATTTCAAGAAAACTGCTGCAGAAAAAGAAGCTACGAATGGTAGCGAATATCCAATTTCACTCCATGGGCATTTCACAACCTAAAACATGTGGCCGGCTGGTTTTCCACTCGAGTAGGCAGACGATTTCAAATGGACAAGAGCAGGATTGCATATACAGCTAGAAGACAGAGCATCCTCTCCTAACATTTCATTAAGTCAAGCAGGTAGCGTTCATGAGTGTTCTGTGATAACAACATACCTGTCATCTCAGATTTAAAATATTCTTGTAATGGGACAAGGAACATTCCGGAAAAACTGCCAGAGGCTTAGAGAACTCAGTCAGACCCCAAGGAAGGGGGAATCCTACTCACAAGGAAGATAAGAGAATGATGGATGTCATGTCAGCCGCGGGAAAAAGGGTGGCTGAGGGGGATGACAACTGTGAAATCAGTAAAATAGGTCTCAGATCTATTTTTAGGGAGAAGCCAGATTAAGGAAGAGCTAAAACCTATGAAAGATACTTATCTACTGTGACATTTTGACTGTTGTGTTACAGCACATAATAATAATAATAATAATAATGATGATGATGATGATAATTACAGGCTTGTGCGTTTTGAACACAGTGTATCACTTTTTCCCCATGCAGTGTTTTTACAGGCTTGAAGCCCCTCTTGCCGACTCTGCATGGCGTGGAGAAGATGGAGCCAGGCTCTGACAGCTTGGGGTGAGGGCTGTGCTCCTGCTGCCTATCACCCATCCTGCCCCCACCAACCGCCCCAACACACACATGTGAGAGGGCTATGTGACAAGACTGTTCTCATCCAAGGGGAATCCATCCCAGCAGTGCAGAGAGGACTGAAAGTGCACAGCAACGGAGCGTGTTCTTGGGAGGGCAGCTGGGGGGAGGGGGGGCATGTAATGGACAGTCTCCAGTACACGCCGCAAGAGTTTCTCTTCACTGTAAAGAACCAGCTCAGCGGAATACAGCCGGTTGCGGTTTTGACTCTGAACAAGAACCTTAAGCGGTTCCTAGGGGCCGTGCATGTGAATATTCTAGAATCCACATTTTTAGCTTACAGTTACAACAACCATTCAAGTAATGTCTAAATTTAAGCTTTCACTTAAATTTTATTCCCCACGCCCCCACCTGAAAACATCTTTGGATTATTGAAATAAAGAAATCAGTAGTCATTTTTTAAGTTTTTCAAATGTGGGAACAAGGCCGCCTTCTGACACAACAAACTAATCTATGCAAGGATCAATTCTGTCTTTTCATTTGGTGTTACAGTAGAGTACAATATCCCTAATTTTGCAATCTAGGGACATTATAAAAATCCATTTTCTACCATAGCAGTTGAAGTAAGACAGTTGTGGCAATAATTAAAACCAGAGACTTGGCCTGAATCAATACTGAGTGGCATAGAAAAGAAAATACCAAACTGCAATAAATGATCTCACTTTCTGCCTTCTGGAAAACATTAACTATACATTTTGTTAAAACAGATCCAACATCCAATCTGCTAGAAAGGTCTAGCAGGTCCTCACCAGTTTGCAGAGCTGCCTACCTGTGGAGTTCCAGGACAGAGGGAATTGGAAGCAGCTGTGCATGTAATAATTGTTGATTCATACTTTCAACGATCCATGCAGGTCATACAGCATGCAGTCTTCATGCAAGAAAGACTGATGTACTGACTAAATAAGTGTGAATAAGACAGTCACATCAATAATGCATGTCAGATGCACTAGGCCCATGTCTTTTGAAAACTTATCAGCAATGCATATGCTTATTCTACACAGTTTATACATAAAAGGTTGTTGGTTCCAACCCTATGGCTAGCAGAGTGATTTCACCACTTGACCTTAAATTAAACAAGGCCCTTAACTCCAGCTGACCTGCTTTCTCACTTGTATGCTGCTCTGGATAAAAGTGTCTGATTAATAAATACATGTAAAGTATACATTGTAGATGAAATACGGACACCAAGTGAAAAAATACATTTACTGGTACAGCCTTTTTTTATAGATTGTAAGAGATTTTATTAGCTGTGTTCTTAAAGCTTGCATTTTGAAGGAATGAAAATAATGTTTTTTTTAAAGAAACACGAATACTGCCAAGATTGCACCATTTTGTAAAAAAAAATTGAGTAACATAGAAAATAGGAATGAGTTGATTGAGCAGCAGAGAAATGAGAAACAGGAGGTTAACTGCCACGTCAGCATGGCTGATACCCCCTACAGAGCTGCCACACCCCCTCTGCTCTCCACTGACACGTCATTCACAGCAAGCAAACGTCTGCTCAATATCCAAAAGGGGAATCATTGGTCTGCTTCTCATCTGCATCTTTTTTTTTGGAGTCTGGGTGAGCAACAGAATAAGCGTGACTCATGTTAGAGGAAGGCTGCCTTTTGGGGGGATTCCCAGTCTGCCGGAGAGCTGAGGCTACACTAAAGCTTCTTTTCTAAGCATTATAACTTTTAAAGATGGCAAAGTATAATCATTCAAGAGATGGGAATTGGCTAATAGTTAACTTAAGTAAAGCTTTTAGTCTGAAAGAGAATTCTCGCGTTTTCCAGAGGGGGACAGAACAGCTGTTCTGGCACAGAAACACTGATGTTACTGCCATAAATGACGGAGTGATTTTTTAGTTGATCTAGCGGTCATGCATATCATTGACAAACAGCAAGGTGGTAAAGGCTAAAAGTTCAAACTTTAAACATAGCTTAGGTAAGGTTGAATTTCCCAGATACCTCCATTTTAATTGAAGTTAATGGATAATGTTATACTACCAAAATGGGTTACCCCATTATGTGTTTCAATCAGTATAGCAAAACTACACTCTAAAGTAAAATATTTCATAAAACTTTAAAAAGTATTATCTTTATCAGTGTAACTGTAAACAACATATGTTTGTGCATATTATTTTGGCATGCAATCTGGTCAAACTTAAAACAAATTAATTATATAACTTTGTAGCTAGCATGTAGCTAAAATGCAGTCCATCTGATATATTTCTGACACATGCAGTAGCATTTTTTGCAAATATTCCAGGAATAAAGCACAGGATCTATAATTTTTAAGTCCCAGAAAGTCAGAATTAAAACTGTTATCTGACTGGGCTGATGTAGGAGAACTGAAGTCAAGGCTTTCTATTAATGGCAGTCGTCTTGGGAAGTGAGACATGTAGGAAATGTTCTTTAGATATGAGTCACTGCACTGTGGTATTCCACCATGACGAAATACTCACCAGGATAGAGCTGTTTGGTAGGAGCGCTGAGTTGAGCATCTTTGGCTACTCTGTAAGCTACATCAGGTCCTGACGACGACTTTCTTTGTGCACAAAAACCTGTTACTTTTGTTACGCCTTCGGGTAAACTGTGAAAGTCTAATATCTTAAGTAGATCTGCAGGTTCTGTAGAAAAAGAAAAAGAAAAAGAAAAAAATATTAAGCGTGAACCAATTTAGCATAGGTACATGATTTACTGATTTATGTTTAGATTTCTTTCTATAAGCAATGAATAAAAGCAGCAAAACTCAATACACAGAGATTAAGGTCTGAATCTGATCATACAAAAATTTTGACTTGAAACCTCACGCCAAAGTCGACCTTAGACCATGAAGTGTTTCTGCAGTTACAGCACAAGGTCCAGGGGAGCCTAAGGTTTCTCCCCTTGGAAAACCTCTCTGTATACTGTGACATTCCCTGTCTATCAGTGTCTAGCATCAGCTTAATGCAAGCAGCTTTCTTCAGCGTTAGTCTGAGTTCTTATTAAAAAAAAAGAAAATGAAATAAATAAAAATGGGAAAAGCTAGGGCATTGTGGCATTCCCATAGTCACAGATGCAGGTAAGAGGGATCGGATGTCCAAAAAGCAAGACCCCACACCGTGTGAATAATAAAAAAAAACACTCCCCAAGCACTGGACACAGGGTTTCTTTCACTGAGAGTCCATCTGGATCGACACTCATGCTAATGTGGAAGCAATTAGTAACAAAATAGTACATTAGGTAATACAAGCTACCAAATCAACATATCAATACAGACTAATACAGCAAAGCAATCAGATTACCAATCTAAAGTTATATTATTCTAAACTGGATGAGCCATGCTCTGTGAAGGTTTCTACATTATTCAATATGGCTAGCAATACATTTGTCAGAATAAAAGATCTACGGATTCCAAATTAAATTGTACATTTTTGTACATCTCCGTTTAATTGGACAAACTTTATAGCCATCATTAGCCTAGCATGGATTTAGATTTTAGAGAAAGAATGCAGGCTGTTCTCTTACTGGGTCCACGAATCCGGCCTTCCAGTTGCTATTTTAGTAACAAATGAATGGACGTTGTACTTTATTACTGAATCACTGTTTGTCTTGTCTAATAAGTACAGTGTTGAGCATTAGAACAGGATATAATAGTTATTATTTCATTAATTTACAATTTGAATATTTTAACACACTATTAGCTATGGGTATGGATAACAACTTTAGTTACTATGTCAAGAAAAGTACATATTTCATGTCCAAAACCAGGTTTATATGATTGTCTGATTACTCTCCATGCCGCGATTCCTGTGCCAACGTGCCTTTGAAGTCCATCTCAGCGTCTACACTACGTGACCGCAATGTTTACCCCAATCTTCCATGTCTTGAAAAATCCTCATTGCACCGACCACAGTAAGCATGAAAGGTCCAGGCACCATACAGACATTACTGAAGTCATACCGACATCAGATCGATAGCAGACTGCATTGTCACCACTAAGCATGCTTGTAATATGAGATGCCTCTTCTTTATGGGTAGTTACTCATGGTCCGTTCTTCACCATATACTTGGCAGATCAGTGACTGTGACTTCAGCAGCGCTTTGAAATTAGCGTCAAGGTGCCGCAGCAATGTGTGGCGCTCAGAGACCTGCTCTGGATATGAAAACAATCTAAACAAGAATATGCTTTCCTGAGGTGTCTGACAACAGACAGGCTTTCCAGCAGCAGCCAAAACTGCAGGCCAGCAAAGGTGGATGCAAGATGGAGTGTTGTTCATCTCCAGTACTTCAGGCACCATCATCATAAGGAATTCATATACATTTGCGTAAAGCATAGCCTTTTGGTTTGGGGGGAAAAGTTTGAAAGAATGCAACATGCATCACACAGCAGTAATATAGAAGATAAACCTTATTTTAACTGAAATGCCTAGCATGCTACATCGTGTGCTTTACTACTACCCATATTAGTTACAAAGTACAAGCTAACTGTAACAGCAAAACTTTGGCTGTAACAATGAGATGCATACATACTGAGGAAAATAACAGGGAACAAAATCTTTGGATGAATTACTCTGAATGCCTGGAAATAACAGCAGATTTTAATAAATTCCAGACCTAATGGTTCTGCCCAAGAGAACTTGCTCAGTTAATGAGTTTGATTGAGTTTGCTAAACTGCCTGCCTTGAACTAGACTTATTGGTATCTTCTGTGTTACTCATTAAACGCGAGTGGGGACAAACATCCCGTTTGGGCCATGTGACCTCTCGAGGCTGCAGGGAAGGCACCGCAAAGGCCCTTAGGGCAACCAGAAAGGCACCGCAAAGGCCCTGAGGGCAGCAGGGAAGGCACCGCAAAGGCCCTGAGGGCAACAGGGAAGGCACCGCAAAGGCCCTGAGGGCAGCAGGGAAGGCACCGCAAAGGCCCTGAGGGCAGCAGGGAAGTTTTATTCCCTATCCTTGCCTCACATAGAGGGCACAGTTCTGCAAGCAGTCTTTCAAGAAGACAAGTATTTTTCAGCCAGCCCAGAATGCCTTCCACTGCTATAAATTCTAATTAATCTTGACAACAGGTGTTGTCTCACAATGTCTGACATTAAGTGCAGCTATTGAGGGCTGAAAATACTGGCAGTAAAGCAGCATTTTGTAATTATACAGCATCACTTAAGTGAAACAAAAAGTATATATTCCCTTTATCTCACACAGGAACTTCAGTTGCAGTTTAGGGATGGGTCAATTACCGCAGAATGAATGTGGAGCCTGATAATTGACAGCATATAATTGGCCGTGTATAATTAAGTGCTTGTCATTACACTGTGCAAATCTCCAGCTCTGCAAAAACTTATTCAGTGGTTTGTGGATTCTCAATGCTCCTGAGAACATTTTGTCCAGATGGCTGTCTGGGACCATTCTTTGGTGATTCACATCAGTGAATCTTCCACAGACCACACTCAGATGATAACTCTAACCTGCATCAAACTCTCCCAAGGCATTCTTCTACATTAATGCCACCCTCCTGTGCTGATGAATGCTAGCTAGTCTGTAAATCAAGCAAAGATTTTTCCACATAATATTGATGTGCAATAAATACGTCTGGGTTATAAAAATACAATGAATGTGGCATACTTAGAAAGATTTGGTGAACTCATGTTGAAAGATCTGTGTTAGGACCGGAAAGACAGACACCGTGCATGAGACAACATCGCAAAAGTAACTGTGTGAACAGGGGAGGGATGTGGCGACTGCAGCAGGGAGAGTCAGGCGGCTGGGCTCCTTTCTGTTGGTTTACGCTGCGTCTCCCCTGGTTAATTTCATGCATTTCTTTACTCTATCTTAATGCAAGGTCTGTTTAAATGTGCCACCCCTGTCTGCGGTGCTTCACTTCACACCCATTTCACACAGTGACTTTATGACAAGATGCGCATTTTATCAGTGTTTCTCAGAGAAAATCTGACTGGTCAGAAACAAACCCGTAACTTAATTCCCTGCCCCCCTTGCCCACCCCACAATGCTGCCCCCCCCCCCTCTGTTTCACCATCTCTCTTGTTCTTTTACAGCTGGACCCCAGAAAAATGCAGTGTTGACATCCCCAGTAGTAAATGCCAAGTTTCTTTGATTCTAGCTGCTTGATGATTGCTCAGTTGCCCCTTTCTCAGCCTAACCTCATGTAAACCAGGGCTGTGTGCACAACTGTTCCCTCTGTTCCCTGCTTAGAATGACTATGACACGCTATTGCCCTGAAAGGATATTTGCCTATAAGTGTGGTGCTCATGGAGAGTTATTAGCAATAATGAAGTATGTGTGTACAGAATGCACATTCTGGCATCATATCATGGGATAAAAATTGCTCACAGATAGTCTTGAGACTATCGCTTAATTCAGTAAAAATATTGCAAATGTATTGGTTTTATAACAAAATTCATTAGTTTATTCATTGCTTTAAATAAAATATATATCACATTAGTCAAAAATTAAGTAGCAAACTGAAACCCATATTATATCTCTAAAAGAGCTGTTCTTGAGTTAAAATTGTCTCACACGTCTGGGACCAGGGTTCTGTGTGTGGAGTTTGCATGTTCTTCCCGTGTCATCGTGGAGTTTCCTCCAGATACTCCAGTTTTCCCTCACAGTCCAAAAACATGCTGAGGTTGACTGGAGTTGCCAAATTGCCCACAGGGGTGCTTGTACAAGTGAATGATGTGTGAGTGAGCCCTGTAATGAATTGGCGCCCCATCCTGGGTTGTTCTCTGTCTTGCACCCATAGCCTCTGGGATAGGCTCCAGACCCCCAGCGACCCTGAATAGGACAAGCGGTTTCAAAAAAATAGATGGATGGATAGTGTTTAGTAACCTTTTGGGAGCGATTGACTACAATTGCAATTAATAGCACAAAGGCAAGAACAGAACTTTTCTGACATTAAATGAAAAGAACATGTCTGTGCGTAAGATGTGCAGATGTTTAAAATTGTTTGTCAAACCAGTACATTTGCAACATTTTTACAGAATTGAGCCCCATAAGCCCCCCAAGACTTTCTGTGAGCACTATATATACATATATTTTAACATCTCCCACTCCACTAATAAACGATATGTGAATGTGTGACTGAACATGTTTGTCTTTAAGTATGCATCTGTTTAACGGCATGATGTGTTTGCTCAAATTTTCTAAGTTTCCCGGGTATTGCTTTGCTCAGATAAGTGTGATTCAGAGGAGAGTAAAACAGGGATTACATAGAATTCCCTGTGGCCGGTGTATCTAAATGAGATAGAAATAAGAACAGATGTATTAAACCTCTCATGCAAAATATAAAAAGCTTTGAGTGGAAGAATAATAATAATTAAGGATGGGCCGATCCACATTTTTTCAGTTCCGGTCCAATTCAGATGCAGAACTGCCGATACCGATACAGATTCTGATACAAGAACTTTATTTACTAATATATAATATATACATATTTATATTTCAGATATTATAGATATCTCTAAACTAGTAAATACACATATGCCAAAAAATATTTAGACTACAGATGCTCCTCTACTTACGACTGAAATACGTTCCGAACGGCCGTTCGTAACTTGAAATGTTCGTAAGTCGTTATTCTATCATTTTAAGGGTATACGCAAGTACAAAGAACTAGGATGCTGAGAGTA